CCTATCCCCTCGTGTGCCTTGCCTACCCACGACTTTATTTAATGGAAAAATTTTATATAGAGCCGAGGCTCTAAACAATCAAATTAGAGCCCACATCTAAAATTTCACCAAAAGAGGTTGTTTTGATGTCTAAATATCCTCAAATTGATCATCTCGCATCAAGATCCATTGACATGAGAAAAAAATGGATTTCAAGTTTGGAAATAGTGCATTTTGTAACACATTTTTGGACTGTCAATTGTCAAGATTTTCAAGTTTTCTTAGGTCTGTTCGATCTATGTTATTTTTTAAGCTTTAAATTTTATAATTAAAGATGAATATATATTTCAAGGCTATCACAAAGATTTCTAGTATTGAAACCACATTTCTCAACATCATTTGAAGGTGCGCTTTACTTTTATTGTTTAGAGCCTTGGCTCGTACCCTTATTTAAATATTATTCAATATTAATTAAATATTAAATATTAAATATTATTTATATAATGGTCCATATGGACCTGAACCCGAATAGTGTTGAGGTCAAAATATTGGACCGGAACCCGACCCGCCGGGTCCAATTTTTTGACCCATAACCGAACTCGAGTCGGGTCCGGGTCCATTGTCACCCCTAATTTAATTTACTTAATTAGGATTTCTAAACAAATCCCCAATTTTTGCTATTAATATCCAAAACTTAGGCGTGAATATGAAAATGATAATTACCTAAATGCTCAGGGTGATAAAAAATGTATAAGAAATGCATCTTCGATACAAGGAGGTCTTTGTGGCTGTGAGATTTATATGCAAACTTCTTCGGAAAGAAAAGTTCTAAAAACTTTGTTGCACTTCATTGTTTTGAACCTGGGTCATTATTGGAACCTCCTCGTACGAAGATAAATGTTTTGTACCATGCGATACCTATCGAGTGTGGTTTGTATAAGGCATCAACCTTAAATAATCCAAGTAAAGCGCGCCTCTAAATCATGCTATATGGTGTAAAATTTAGGTGCCGAAAAACTTTATGGTGGCCAAATTTATTTATTTTTAATTCATAATCATGAAATTTAGAGTTTTAAAAATTGTATAGATCGAGTAAATCCATAAATACTTAAAAATCTTGAAAATGAATGGTCAAGATAATGCGTTATTAAATGTACTATTTTCAAAGCTTGAATCAATTTTTTTTCATATTTATATGTCTCACGGCCAAGATGAATTTGAGGGTTTTATAGTATCAAGACAATATCTTTTAGTAAGTTTTCAATATGTGCCTTACTTCTATAGTATAAGTTTGACATTTTATATAAATATTTTCCATATATATATATATCTATATATATTGCAACTTTATATTATAGAAGTAAGGTGTGCCTAAAAAATCTAGTACAAATGAATGTTCTGGAGTTGGAAAATCTTTCAATTGATCATCTCGATTTCGAGATGTATGGACATCAAGAAAAAATAAAGAATTTGAAGTATTAAAAATAACAATATCGTTTTATGTGGCTTTCCTAACCTATATTTATAGAGAGAGAAAGATATGGGTTTTAGTCCCACATTGACGAGGAGAGTATAGATAGAGTGGTATTTAAGTATGGAAAAAGTTAATAGAAGGTTGCGACCTTAAAATACAGAATAAAAAATCTATCGGAAAATGTAGTTTTAATGTTGAAACACCCTCTAATTGATCATATGACATCAAGATCTATGAAATGTATGAGAATAAAAAAATAAAAGATTATTACCATAAAAAAATAAAAGATTTTGAGGCCGTATTTTGTAACACATTATCTAGACCGTCAATTTTCAAATTTTTCATATGTTTGTAGATCTAGCTGATTTTAACTATTTTTGGAGTTTAAATATTTACAATTAAATATGAAAATAGATTTTCAGATAATCCTAAAAGAAATTACACCAAAATTACATGTTAATATCAAATTTGGAGGTGCGCCTTAATTGGATTGTTTAAGGTTGCAACCTTATAGAAAGCACACCCTTTAAGTATAGACATTCTCATGTCTTATCATACACTTCCATGTGCGTGTGTTCGTGTGTGTGAAAGGCATTTGATTGCATACTTCGCACGCTCGTATCAATGACCCTTGCCCGAGCACATGTACCGATCGGGCTGGAGGCTCCATATATTTTTTGTGAGTGTGACACGTATGGGACATCCAACGGTCACTAACCGTTGAAGACTTGGAGGCTTGTAATAATTGCCTTCGAGATAAGGGTGCAAATATAATTTGTGACAGTTAGTGGTGCATGTAACCACTCCTATAGTAGATGGAACCATTCCTACAGTAAATGGGCAGCCTCTTGGAGCTCTATAAAAAGGGTCGACTTTTTCCCTTAGGACTATTTCAGATTGGGCTAGAGCTACAGATCCATTCCAAAATGTTTCCATTGCTGACGTCTAGAGGAACTTCAGCCTTCAATGAAGATGATAAAATACAGGGTGACTAAATCACCATTACGGTTACCTCCGCAATTTGGGTGGTATAAGCTTAATTTTGATGGCAATGTGAAACAAAATGCCATAACGGCAGGTTTTGAGGGAGTGGTAAGAGACTCTAGTGGCCAAGTGGGATGGACTTTACATGTAAAACTTCCAATATGTTATATTGTGTGCTCAAAGTTTATGCTAATGATTTGCACTTGATCATAGAAGGAGACTCTTCAAATATGATAAGATGGTGTTCAAACCCTTCTTTGGCCCCCTAGAGGTGGACGGTTAACTTCTGGCCCATCCCAGGGGTAAACATCTTGTCTTTTCCTTAATTAACATGGAAAGAAATTCTTTTGCAGGTGGGTTGGCTAAGAATTTATAAACTTTTTATTTTCCTCTCCTTTCATTTTTGTATTTTCTCCTTGAGCCTGAATTGTACTCCTTTCATTCTCCTAATGAAATCTTTGTTAACTATGTCAAAAAAAAAACAGAAAAAAGCCATTATAGGTAGCTCTTTTACCTGATGGAGTAACTGTATAATGTGCTCTGTAGGATTACGCGCTCAAAAAGAGAATCTCCCTATGAAAACGTCCCGCCAAAACTTGTCATTCCCTCCTTTCTCTAAGCAAATACCTCCGCACGTGCCAAACGTACATATAAGTTTCAAATTTGTAAAAACGAAGAGAAAAATGGCTTCGAGAGAAGGCGTTTAATCTTGGCCGTCCACCGATTCACCCTAGTGCCACGTTTCACCGACAGTGCTCGACTAAAGCGTGCACAACTCGGTAATAACTTCCATAGATCCAACGGCCAGAGGAGCGCCGATCATGTTCAAACATGCACGACGTTTAGCGATAATGTTGTGGGCCCCCCGTTTAAAGGGGTCGATAGAGAGAGTTGGCCGTTTGAGGTTCAAAACTTTGCTATGACGGAAACCGTCAGGGAGCTGTTAAAAGAAGTTCCCGACGTGGTCTAATCCAACGGCTGTGCTCTCGTAGCCTAATCTAACGGTTGTCCTCTCTCTTCCTTCCCTCTAATATTCTTACTCTGAATATTTATCTCCGTCCATCCTTAACGGCTGTAGGCCGAGCCGTCTCTCTCTCTCTTCCTCATTTCCTCTCTCTTCAAATCTCTCTTTCTCTCTCTAAGGGACTCGTAACGTCTTGCGAAAGCCTTTAGTCTCTTCCTCTCTCTTCGCCTACGGTCACTTTCTCTCTCTAAACCTACTAAGACCCTCCTCTCTCTCTCTCTCTAGGAATGTAACGATCTTCAAGGGCCTTCACTTTCTCTCTAACCTTTGCTCTCCCTCTCTCTCACCTCTGTGAAGGTTTTGGCTTTGCTTCTTTCTGTAATCGTCTATGCTTTGAGCTCTCTTCTTCCCGCCATTTTCTGGACCTGAAGGTATTACCGTTTGCGATTTCTGAATCGAATCAATTCTTTTGTCTCTGCTTTCTCTCACTCTCTCTCTATCACCAAAATTTCTTGTCATGTGTATGTTCTGTGTAATTGGGTTTTTCTTCTTCTTGGTTTCTATGTGGGTTGATATGAATGATTGAGATTACTATTGGTTTGTTCAGTTATTTGTTTTGGGGTCTTTGGATCTGTTTAAATTCTTACCTCCAGATGGAGAAACTATTGTTTGAGACAGTGGATTTGGGGTGTTTCCATTTGGGATGTCGGTTTTGTGGGTCAAATTTTTCGTTGTTGGGTTTGGGAATTTTCCATTGAATTTGAGGTTGGGTTTGAATTCTCATGACAGTGATTGAGTTTTTGGTTTTCAAATAGAGATATGGGCGTTGTTTGGGATGAGGAAATTCGAGATTTCGAGATGTGATTGTAGCGAGAAAGGAGAAGATGGTGGCCGTGAAAACTGAGCATGACTGTGTAGAGAACAAGCAACCTGCTGCAACTTCGAGCTCTTCGGTTTCTGATGGCAACTGTTCTTGTGTACAGAAGCCTTCATGTCGGTGTAGCCCTACTTCATCGTCTCCTTCTCACTGGTAAAATATTTTATCACCCTTTTTCTCACTATTTTATCTATTTCCTATCTCTGGTTGTCATCACATATATATTTCCAATCTCTAATTGTGCTTGTGAATCTGTTAGTAGTCTATAATTGTGTTTGTGATCATATGCTTTCTTCTTGTAGAATTCGTATGTTTTAGAACTTGCAAACCTCACTAGTCTTTTGTTGAAGGTCAAGTAGGTTTTTCTTCTCTAATGGGATTCCACTTACTTGCCCAGTTAGTTTTTACTTTTTTAGGGTTGTTTGAGTTGCTAATTAGGTAGTTTATTGTAGGACTACCTAATTCGTTAAGTCATATTGATCCTATGTTAGAAGGCTTCACATAGTAAGCCCACCCAACTACTACCATAAACAAGCTGTCCCTACAATCAAGGTTTGTATGGGTGGATCCAAGACAATCCTATTTTGGTTCTCACGCTTAAAGGACTGAAGGAAAAACGTTTGCTCCCCATTTTGACAGTCCTGATTTCCAACTTGCTCATGGTCTATCTTTTTATTTATTTCTTTATTTTTTTGATGCTTGTGCTAATCTTGTGAAGGAGACAATGATGAGTGATGCAAAAGTCAAGAGTATAATGATATATGCCTCTAGGATGAGCATCTTGTCTATGTTTCATATGGTTAAATGGGTGTAATTTTATGGGTGAGACTGTTTGTGGGTCTGAGATCGTGATTCAAGGCATTCTTGTTTCTATTCTGTTCTATTACATGCATGTGGGGCACCATGGAAGTTCACCCCTTGTTGTTGTTCATTGTTGAGCTGACATGGTTATTTACTTTAGGTGCAATATTTGGTGAGACTGGCTATTGTGTTTGAAAACCTGCTCTGGGCCACGTTTTGCAGTATTCTACTTTTCATTCCTAATTTGATGCACTGGTATACTTTTTAATCTCTGTTAGTTGAAGGAACCTACATTGGTAGTCTCTTGAACCCAACATGAACAGTCCCCATTGTAAATTGTCGGCTTTGCATGCTCCAATTCTTATTCTGCTTTATGTTCTTTTGGTATTTCTGGTATCTAAGTATTATCTTGCTACTTTTCTTATAGTTTTATTAGAATTGGTTGATTTTCTTATGCCAAGACTACCTTACAGTTGAGTCGCTGCTGATAATATCTCGTGCATTGCATGGGAGATATACTTGAATAGCACGAATATCTAATGTTTCCATAATTATTACTGAAGAATGTTTTTTCTTGCAACCTGCTTCCTATCAATTGGAATCCAGAAGCTCCTGAACCCTATGGCCATGGAGTATAGCTTTGCCACAAAATTATAATCCTAATGGAAATATTTTTACTTTTTTAAACACCTTTTTGGATATAGTCATTATCCTACATTTTTTTTTGTTTTTGGTTTGTTTTTTTGTTTTTTTCTTTTGAAGGAGAGGATTCTGGGAACTGTTTAATGATAATTTTTATGGTGCAGAGATATTGTAGCAATTATCTGAAGGATTTTGTCTTCAAGTTTTCATAAATATAATATGATTAAAATTGATATGTGATAATTGTTTTAGATACATCTCACCTTTTTGGATATAGTCATTATCCTACATGTTTTTTTTTTTGTGATTTTGAAGGAGAGGATTCTGGAAACTGTTTAATGATAATTTTTATGGTGCAGAGATCTTGTAGCAATTCTCTGAAGGCTTTTGTCTTCAAGTTTTCATAAATATAATGTGAATGCGATTACAATTGATATGTGATAATTGTTATAGATACATCTTTTGGTGTACTATTTATAATTATAATACTATTAAATATTATAATACTGCCATAATAAATATATGATATTTATTATAGATACACCTAGGGTACTGTTCATATTCACGCACTACATATGACATTTGGACATAGTTCAACACTGTCATCTAGGTTAACGTACCCCACTCTCAATGAAAACCATAATCTGTATATTCACACATATTCTCTCTAGCATGTGGTCAGCAATGTTAAAAAAAAACGGATTCAGGTGCCAAGGCGGTCAGGCGACTGCCTAGGCAGGCGTCCAGGGACAGGGTGCCCTCACCAAAATCAAGCCCCCCCCCCACCCCAAACATAAAAAATAGGGGAGTTCTTAGGGCATGGTTATAGCCTTAGGGAGTTTTTAAGGCAATTTTAAAGCCCCAAACTCCTCGTGATCATGAGACTTAACCCATTGAGATATCACATAATCAATTATTTATCAAATAAACTAAAACTAAAAAATAGAATATCAAAATAAGACACATTGTACAAAAAAGGAATCAATTATTCATAAAAGAATACGATATATGCTCAATTTTATCGTTCAAGTGGGAAAAAATCAATAAATCACCAAACAAATCAATCTTTTAACTACAAACATGTAAATATACCGTAAAAGAAAAAAAAAGTAAAAGAAAAAACACATGATTCATAACATAATATGTTGTTGCAAAATAAAATCAAAACTCTCTTTCAAATATGATAATACTTAATATCAAAATCAAAACGATGTTAGTGCAAATCTTGTTTATTGGGTCACCAAAAGTTCTCAAAATTAACTATTAGAAGCTCCAAATCCACCCAAGAACTATATTACCTTCGTTTTGGGAAGAAATCAAAAAAATAAATTTTTTATTAATCTTTCGATAAATCACAAAATAGTGGTTTTTGAGAGGCTTTTTTCACCCTAAAGAACACAGATTTTCTATTGCGGGTTTAGAATACCCCCTAAAACCCTTTTCCGCCCTTTTCAGGAGGAAAAAATTACATATTTTACCCTCACCCAAGGGTTTTTTCTGCTGCCCGCAAGTTGTCACGGGGTGCCGCCTAAGTGGGCACCCAGACAATAGTGCTTAGGCGCTGCCCAGAAGCAAAAAAGCCTAATGCACCCACCCAGACTGTGCCTAGGAATTTTGAAATTTTTTTCACCTAGGCGGCCGCCTAGGTTGTCGAGTGGCCGAATTTTCGAACATTGGTGGTCAGGCCTCTAAATCCTCCCTATGGGGAAAACTCATCCTCCTAGCTTTTGTCATACTGTATTTTCTGCCCTCTCAAAGCCAAGACTCGTTCTAACTACCTATCTTCTCATGTGAATGTGGCCTACCTGTCTTTCCATGCCTTCATTTTTTTGGAGGTATTTATTTCATTTTGAATGTTATCTAATGTTTGACACGATGTGTGCATCAAAAGTAATCCATATACACGCTTGTAAGCAAGAGAGTTTTTAAAGGGAGTAGAGAAATTAAGGGATAGTTAGCAAGAATAAAAAAGTTCTAACAGTTGAAAAGGAACCTATTAAGAATTAGGCTTGGGCTTGATTGGCTAGTGGTTGACAATTTCCACACTACGTCCGAACTTTGGTTCCTACCACTGAACTTACCCCCCACTCCGCTGTCAAAAAAAAAAAAAAAAGAAAACACGAAAAAAAGAGTAGAAAACAAAAAAGTGAACCTATTTACCAATTTCTAGATATGCGATGAGAAATCCAAAAGGAAGACAATTTTCTTATCCTTCAATGTGGACTTATGGCAGGCTCATGCATACTGATATCCCTATTTACTCCTGTCTTTATTTTTATTTTTATTTTCTAAATGCAAGGGTACCAAGATTTTTACTTTTCGATACCAATGATGTTCATTTCTGATAGTTGGAATTGGGTTTCTAGATTCATATGCCTTTTTGTGTTGCTGCAAAAGTTCATTATGTTGCATTTCTTGTGAAAAATGGGTTTCAATTGGGCCAATGGAAATTATTGGCAGAAGTCCTTATGTATTGTGAATACCTAGGACCTGAAAGAGGGGCTTCAGCTTCTGTCTTTCCACAAGCTTTTATTCATCCATGTATTCAGTTAATGTATAAGTATGCCTTATACTGCCAATTTAGAATGTTATCTATGTGAACTTCAGTGTGATAATTCATTCTTTTGATTGGTTTTCTAAATTGGTTAGGAATTATTGTCATTACTTTCTAACGATCTCTTCATTTGCATGCTTTGTATACTGTTTACTGTGATTTAATTGAATCCCTTACTTTTTCATTTTTTTTTTTCTGGTTAAGTGCATTAACTGAAAAATGAGAATAGGAGGTCAGAGTGGTGGGTGCCACAACCTGACGTCTAGAGTTCCATTCCCAAGTTACGAAAAAAAAAGTGCATCAAATTGAAAAAGTGGAACTAGGACCCTTTATTCAGGAACATGAATCTAGATGAAGAAAATTTTATGTGGTTAGCTTCTTCCCTATCTCCCTTGCTAAGGTGCATCTAATTTTGTCTGTAGGAGGAGAGCTAGTGGTCCCATAAGGCGTGCAAAGGGGGGTTGGACACCCCAAGAGGTTAGCAGATCGGCACTCTTATCATCTGATGTATTCATCTGAATTTTATTTACAAATTTTATGTCTAGGTTTAACTGGAACTCTTACTGAAATCTTGCAAGCACTGTCTTCAAAGTGGACAATGGCATTGGCCAAAATCTTTCTTATTGTAAAATTGCATTGGCCTATTCTTTTTTTCTTCTACTTTTTTGACTGCTAGGCAATGTTTGCATTTGACGCACATTAACATAAGGATTCACCATTTTAAAAAACTTTATTTTTAGAAGAAGGTGCTTTGTTTTGTTTAAAATTATTTGGCATTACTGTATTCTTTGCATTGACATGCTGTGGTACTTTTTACTTTTAAAGCTCTTCCAGTTTTTATTTTTAGAATACAAGTGTATCTTCTAACTATATTTTCTTTAAACGAATGGGATATGTTCTTGAATACTGACAAATTTTCTACAGGATGAGATATTGAGGAATGCTGTCAATTATTTCAAAGGAAAAAACTATATTTTCTTTAAATGAATGGGATATGTTCTTGACTACTGACAAATTTTCTGCAGGATGAGATATTGAGGAATGCTGTCAATTATTTCAAAGGAAAAAGCTGGAAGAAAATAGGTATGTTTCTATATATCTTAATTGCTACTATGATTTTTTTATTTCTTTTATTTTTTGAGGCATATTTCACTGTTGCAGCATGTAAACATTGTTGATGATGTCCACAACTATAATAAATCAGTTCCGTTATGATTAATTGAAGTATAAAGTTTTCTAATTGGAATTTATCTCCTATATTTTAGAGATATATTCCCTTGATACATAATTTGTAGATGAGTAAACAAATACATGAGTACATAACTAGAAAATGAATTATAAATTTGAAAAGTAAAAACAATAATAGACATGTACAAACACTGTGCTGCACATGTGCAAACCAATACATGCGTAGAGCCACAGATTTATAGGTTTCTTGCTAACTAAATAGTCATATGAAAACTATCATATGTTTATTCTGAAGCATATTGTGGCCATGCCATCTAGTGAGCATCCACCAGTGATTGGCATGTGAATAATTGAGATTGGGTACGTGAACCAATCTATACACATGAGATGTATCTTATTGGTAAAGACTGTATTGGGTGACCATATGTAGCTCCCTCCCATGTTCAATGTGCAGTATCACGTACAAAGGGTCATTGGATTTGCTCACTTGAGAGTGTTGCTGCAGTATCCTCCCTAGTGTGTGTAGTATGCTCCTGTTAATTGGAGTATGAGAGAGAGAGAGAGAGAGATAGAGAGAGAGAGAGAGAGTTATGGGTCACTCAGGTTAAGTGACATCTAACCAAAATCCAAACCAAGGCAACCCGACTGGACCAGAGAAAATGACAGTACGTGCTCCTGGTTTGTATGTGTGACCTAAGATTGAGCCAATGATCTGGCTCTGATTGCTTGTTGACAGATCAGGAATCTTGTAATTGTTGTGTTATTGTTAATGATGCTTGAAATTTAATAATCTGAAGGCGGAATCTCAGATTAAGTTTACATGGTTATCTTATTGCAATTCTCCTTCATGTACAACAGCTAGAGAACAAATTACAAATGGTTCAATACGTGGATGCAGTATTTTGCTAGATATGGCTGCTGTTGAGAATATTTTTATCAATGTTATTTTTTTTCTGAAGTATTTTTATTTAGGTTATTCTATTTTAAACCAAGATACCTATGTTTCATCCATTTTTATTGCTTTAAGGTGCATTGTTTGTCTCGTTGTTTTTAACAAGATTACTCAATTTTCTACATGGGTCTTTTATGTGATTTCTGTTTGTGGATGGGTTGTCATTTTCTTTGTCATTCGATATATGTTCTACTTGTAAGGTTCTAATGTTTCTGATATCTGTGGAAGAAAATGATGCTGATATTGTATAAATTGTTTAATTTTATATAAACGTATTGTTGTCATGAGTTTCCTTCAATATAAACCTGGATCTCTAGAAAGTAAAGCACGTCGTTAGAGCCTCCCACATTAAGGATTTACAAATTGTTGAGACTAGAATTCTCTTGAAGTTGGGCAATGAAGGGTTACAATCCCTCATAAACATGATCAAACATATAAAAATAACTAAAAATATCCCGAATCCAAATTTAGCCATGTATCGGTAGGAAAAATAGGACCAAGGGAAAAAGAAGAAAATTTTATTGTAGCAGATAGAGAAAAATCTGACTGAGATTGCCACATCAGTTCAAGACATCTTCGTTGAAGACACCTAAGTGCCTGAAAAAACATGCTAGAGCAAGTGAGCAAGAATTTGGGCATTCTATATATGTGCTAGTAAATACTATCAAGTAAACTTAGTGAACATTGATAGTGTGTATTACACACTGAGTTACATTGGATTATATAAAATTTAGATCACAAATTGATCACTCACCCCTTTGAGAATTTGGATGACCTTTGGTTCCTAGTATTTTAGTGAATTTGGGTATTCTATATATGTGCTAGTAAATACTATCAAGTAAACTTAGTGAACATTGATAGTGTGTATTACATGCTGAGTTACATTGGATTATATAAAATTTAGATCACAAATTGATCACTCACCCCTTTGAGAATTTGGATGACCTTTGGTTCCTAGTATCTTAGTGTACCCTCGTTGTGCTATATGATTGATTTATAAGGTGACTATTTCCTCATTGGGTTGGACAACATCTAATGCTTTATGTTATATTTGACTCATGCTTCAAAACTCTGAGGCTCAACCCTGAATTCTCCTGGTTCGGCCTGACTTGCCACATCACCTGGTGGGACCCACCCATTCACCAGTTTTTATAATAAACGGTCTGGGTTTTTTGACTTTTCTCCTATAGTTGATAGAATCTTCATTAATATGGTTCCTAATTCTGGGCAAGCGCCCAGGTGGCTAGCAGCTTATTTACCACATTCTATTTTTGGGCTTTTTTAATTGGGAAACATCGTCTTTGACAACTATTATGCGCTGGTTTTAGATTATTGGGAGAATACTTGTTATTCTATAATATTTATTGTACTGATTGAAATCATTGAGGCCCTGTTTTCTTCTTGAAACCTTGTTCCTGAAACCTCCTGCCCTTTCTTCTAGTGTATCCAATCTTTGAAGTAATTCATTTCCATTGTCTTATTCTTTCAGTATAATTTATATAATAGAGCAAACAAACCCAAAAAATATTCTTCAAGAAAAAAAAAATAATAATGATAATGATAATGATAATAAATACTTGACTTTTTTTTTTCCTGAACAAAATATCTTTCTAGGATTGAAAAAGTCAAAAGAAACTTTGTGTGTGTGTGTGTCTATGTGTGTGTGAGAGAGAGAGAGAGAGAGAGAACTATCATTCTGTATACTTAGTTTATCTTTCTATATGCTATTCAATGATAGAACACTATATATAGGCCTAGTCGTTGAGCCATGTCTGGAGCTTTGAGTCAGAAAAATTCCTCAAATGCCCACCATCTTCTTCTATCGTGCTTAGCACATTAGTTATTGACTAATGTCAACTATGAGTTCTCAAATCTAGTTATAGCAGGCCTTAGCCCCATTATGAGGCTTATCTGAATGAAGTCCAATGTTTCTGAACTATGATTTGAGTTGCAATTACCTCATGTAGAGAGGATTGCTATGGATATTTTAATTTTCGTATATCAAGTCAACACTCCTAATTTGTCCGTAAAATATTGCTAGCTGTTTACTGAGTTATATCACTTAAAGCTGACGACTCTCATTATCTGTTATCTGTAATGGATGGGTTGATTCAAAACCCTATATATTCAAGTGCATAACTTCTTTCCGTACAATTGTTGTTTGTCGATGTCAGCATATGTCTGAACTTAACTGCTCTTGCAGCTGCATATTTCCCACATAGATCTGAAGTTCAATGCTTACATCGATGGCAAAAGGTTCTCAATCCAGAGCTTGTGAAGGGACCATGGACCAAAGAGGTGTAACTTCATGCTTCTTCATTCCCCTTTTTAAAGTCTCTGAGCTTCTTTATTATTGGTCATTGAAGAATGAGTTCTACAAATTGAAATGATTCTCACAAGGTTTCTTTTTCCTATCACATGTGATATACAGGAGGATGATATGATCATTAAACTGGTTGAAAAATATGGAGCAAAGAAGTGGTCTGTTATAGCTCAGTCTTTACCAGGTCGCATAGGCAAGCAATGTCGGGAGAGGTAGAGAGATTTTCGGACTTTGAATTTCTTGAGTTAGCTCTTTAATGGTCACAAAAGGATTAAGTTTTTATTTTTTCTTTTATTTTTGCTAGTGTAATGAATCTATCAATCATCAGCACTTCCATGTATATGCATCTCGATGATTTAGTCGCCTTATCTGTTTCCTGTGCATGAATCTGGATAGTCGATTCCAAATAGTTGGGATAATTCTCGGATGATGATGATCTGTTTCCTGTGCATGTTTTCTCTTCTTTATGCATATGTCAACTGCCACTTGTATGTTACTGATATTTACCTGCACATTGGTGTTACCTCTCTCTTCCTTTCTTTCTCTCTCTATAAATAATGCGCTTTTAAGCCCTAAAAACCAAATGCTGGTTTGTGCTCCCATAAATTGGCAAAAAGGACAAAAATATAGCCAAAGTCCTGTCCAGTCTGGACTGGTCTAACTGGCGAATCCACTTGCCGAACTGGATATACTCCACCTCAATACTCGTTCAGGGTCCACACCATCTGGTGTGGACACCAGTTCCAGATATACTCCAGCTCAATACTGGTTCAGGGTCCACACGGTCCAGTACAGTTCTGATATTGAATGGCTGTTCACTATTGATGAAATCTCTAGTGAAAATCTGGTTTCTGCTCTAAAGGAACTATAAACAGGCAAGACTCAAGATATTGACTTAAAAATAATAATAATTAACGGTAGATAATTTTCTTGCAATTTATGATTTGTGGAATGGAAGGAACATGCTTAAGCTGATTGTTTGTGAACTTCTGATGCAGGGACATTGTACTTTTCTGTAAGTGTGGTACAAATGTATGAACATTGAATCATTCCGCTTGAGTTTTACATAAACAGACACATGTCCGGGGTTCTTGGATTTGGTCTTTCATATTTAGTTAAAAGAATGATGGTTGAAGAAGGCATAGTAGCTCTCGTATTTCCAAGCCCTCATAGCATCGTAAAAATGAGAGAAATGCCACTTTTTTATCCTTATCTACAATAAGAAAGAAAAGAACCTCGACCCTCGTTCCAAATGAACTCTATGAACTAGAATATAGCAGCGAACCTACAAGAACCAAAATTATTTGGTTGCTTTGTTAATCCTTTGCAAGCACACGCTAAAAGAAGTCGTTAAAACTGTGGCATTATACATCAAGCATGTGTTTTTTGATGACCTCTCTTCTTTGTATTCTAAATAAAAAATTGGTATATGCTGAAATACTATTGACTACCGTCAATGTGTGCCTTATTTCCATAGAATCAGTTTTGTATAATATTTATAAATGATCGTAAAATATCATTGTTTCGAAGTTTCTTGGCCAGCTGACTACTTATCTTTTCATATTATATAGCATTAATTTCTCTCCTGAACCTTTTAGAAAATTGCCTTGTGTAGGTTAAATCCATATTTAGTCTATAATGATTTTTATATTATTTTCTAGGTGGCATAATCATTTAAACCCTGAAATAAAGAAAGATGCATGGACAGTTGAAGAAGAGCTGGCACTCATTCGTGCCCACCAGAGTTATGGGAACAGATGGGCAGAAATAGCAAAGTTTTTACCTGGAAGGTACAACTTGTTGACAGATATGAAATTTAAAGCGAACTGGCTCCAGTTGGTGCTTCCCTTTCATATTGTATAGTTCATGACTCCATTGCCATAGCAATATTGTTCATGCATCAGTCTGAGATGTTATTTTCCAAACTTTCTTTATGTTATAGCTTCTTAACTTCTAGTTATATCGACAAATTTAGTAGCTCTTGAACTACATCTACATTTCATGACTATGGCGCTTAAAATATACACACATAAAAATTATTTTTTGGCTGGAATTGCCAATGATCTTAAGTTTCTGAGTTTATTTCAGCATGTTGAATATCATATTTATAAATTGATAGCCACATAGAAGGTAAAAGATTTCCTAGTTCTATGAATGATATTTTTGAGACATTTGTCAATTTGCTTTAGTAGCCTACTCTGTGCGCAACATAATTAAAACTTCTAAAACCCTCTAGTTGACTTGCTGGTTTGTGCAAGTTTATTTGGCTTTGCAAGTTGAGAAATGGATTTGGCGTGTTCTGAGTGAACTCAGCCAAGACTTTACCAAGTGTATATCAGATTTGTATGACTCAATGGTTTGGCCTAAATAGTGTATGACTATGTGGAGTTTGCTAGCCTTCTTCAGTAAAAGTATTCAGATGATATTTTGAGGTAGATGAACATATGCACGAATGTCAATAACAAATAAGTTTTTTACATATACTAGTGTATTGTATTGATAATGACAATACTACATTCTATGTTCAAAAAGTTGGCCGCCCCCCTCGACCAGGTGGCTGGGAAGCCTCGCCGTCCCGCATTGGGAATTTTCGGCCTAGTGCGGGACGATGGCTCTGGGTGGCCAACTAATCGCCTAGGGCCCTTTTGGGAAGGCCCGATAATGGGCCTCGGCAAAAGGGCAAAAATGTCCCTTCCCCCCCTTAAAAAGGGGATAAATTGTATTTGGCGGGCATTTTGGCCCCCTAAAACCCTAAACAACCTATTTTGTCCCAAAAAATATTTTTCTTTGTTAAAAATGGAACTTTCTACAGATCACAATCGAATTTTTAGTTTTCGATTTCTTGCGGAATGGCCACCGAAAACTTTTTAGGGATTAATGAGGTTGCAAAATAGAGCTTTGGCAACCGAAAGTGATCAATTGAAGCCTAGTTCTATTGGGTTTTTGCAAGGTTAATAAATTCAATTGTTTATGTTTTGGGTTTTGTATTTATTGTGAGTATTGCGCTATGTTGTGTTTGTTCTTTTTGTCATTTTCATGTGTTTATTTTTTGAAGTTTGGCTTTGCATTTGTGATGATATGTTTTTTTTATAGTTTGATATTTCTTGAAATATATATTTTTAGTCGGCTTTAAATTGTGTTATGCTTCATGAGTGAAGTTTTTTTAGTTTGCTTTTTTTTTTTTGTTATTATAATATGGAATAAGTTTATATAAGGATGCAACCTTATAATGTAGAACTACGGATGCACCTTAAAAATCCAGCGGAAAAGGTAGTTTTAGCGTTGAAAAACCCTTTGATCGATCATCTCGACATCGAGATGTATGACCATCATAAATAGAAATATTTTAAGTCTCAGAAATAGTACATTTTACAACATATTATCTACACCGTCCATTTTCAAGATTTTCATATGTCTATAGATCTACTTGATTTTAACCATTTTTGAAATTTAAAATTTTATAATTAGATATAATTTGATTTTGAGATAATCCTAAGAACATTTTACATCAAAATTATATACCATGATAAAATTTGAAGGTGCATCTTACCTCTACAGCTACGGATGCATCCATATGCCAACTGCACCCTTATAATATATTTATGGCTACGTTTGGAAAATATAAGTCTCTATATAACTGTCTATAGTTTATAATGCAAAATCACAGATTTATAACTACCTAAAAAAAAAAAAAAAAACATATACTCCCTTCTTCTCTCCTTTTACACAGTGGCCGCTCAGGTTCGGCGGCAGCCCAGCTGCCTAAGCAGTTGGGACCCCTGACCGCCTGGGCGGCGGCCCCCATCTTGCATTCAAACACCCGAGTTTGCAAGAGATTTGGCTTTACTGCTTTTCTGCTCTCATTCCTAGTGTGTTTGTGTGTGTGTGTGTGTGTTGTATGTGCGTGCTCATATGTGTCAGTGTGTGCGTGTGTGTGTGTGTGTTTGTGTTTTTTATGCATGCTGGTACGTGTGCATGTGGATACCCCTTCAGTTTAGGGATTTAGCTATCACTTTCCATTCCCACTCTTGCTGTGCCTTGAACTTCCACATGCCCAACTGGGATTTAAATTTGAATTGTGGGGTCCACTAAAGTGGACATAAAGTCTTCTAATATTATCACCAAAATGTTTCCTATTGAGTCTTAAGATAAAGCACTTACAAATCCTGAGATTGTTCTTTGAACTCATTCACTTGCAGAAATGGTTGCACTTCCTTCTGACTTTAGTCTTGGGGGGATGGGGGAGTTTATGTTCATGGTAACAAAATACATGGGGGGCACAAACCCCTTCCCTTCCCTTCCCTTCCCCAGGGATGCCAGAGGTTATGCTCGTAGTGACAATAGCACAATCTTCCACCCTCCCCTTCCCGCCAATTGATCATACATGCCAGTCCACGTGGGCCGGGGGTAATGTATGGCCCTCCTTGGAAGCTAAAATTCGCTCATTTGTATTGAATCTCATGACAAGACTAACTAAAAGCTGGCGAGACTCTGAGACATTACCGAGTCTCGTAAGCCTATAAACTCAACTGATTTCTGTGTTAAGTGCATTTTCTCTGTTTCTGGTGGCCTGTGGCCTTAACTATTGTTTGTGTGCGTGCGCACGCACATACATGTGTGTTGTTGGGCGGGAAGGGGTAGTGGAATATGGAGAGGAGGTTCCTTAGCTATTTCTTTATTGTTTTACGTTTTCATTGTTTTAAAAATTTGAAATGTTGGGCAATCCTAATGTAGTCTGAGTCCTAAGTTGAAGCCACAGGGCTTGGCTGAGTCCCTTGTCGAGTTCAATTATTAAACATGGGGAAAGAGGCATAACCCCAATTGTTCTGTTGAGTTCAATTATTAAACATTGGGAAAGAGGCATAACCCCAATTGGTCATGAACTTGAAACAAATATATAGACATAGATGTATATTAACCGACCTTGTAGGAACCAAGTGGCATTAAGGTCTAAAGTATCAGGAAAGTATACCATACACCAGTGGATTATCGTATATGAGACACCAATATTCACTATTCCTTCCCAACTAGGGTGGTGGAGATTAGCGGTACCCTAGTGGTTTGTCTGCCACTGCAAACTATGGTTGATCTTCAGCCTCCCTCACTGGGAATGGGACTATGATGTATTACTAGCATATAAATCGATGTGTGAGCTGCATGTGCAAAATCTAAGTTTGTCAACTTAAAAACATGTATATGTTGTTGAAATCTACTATATAACTCAATTTTGAGCAGTATTTCTTAAAAGAAATGGAAATGGATGTTTGGATGCTTTTATTATGTCTAGCACTTCTTGATCTGAAAGCCTGAGCTCTTGCAATGTTTGTGAGTCCTCCTTTTGTTCTGCTTCAACTGTTCTTTATTTATTTCTCTATGGCATCATTGTGCCGTCTAGGACATTTATTTGTTTTTGTGATGTATTTTAACTACATCAATGGTTTCGAAATTCTCTAAACCTCAATGATGTAGGAAAAAATAGAGAAAAGAGGCAAAAACAATTCAATAAACCGCAAAAACAGTTGATTTGAGTGGACCTAACTTTCTTTGCACAAAGAAGAGACCTCGATACCCTAGAAAGGATATGGTTTTACTGTTCATGTCTTTTTTTTGTTGTTCACTTCCCAAAAGTGTTCGAAATCCTAACACCCCAGGCCTTTTTTTTAAAAAATTATAATAAAAAAGAGCCAAAACTGCACCCCATTTAAGTAAAACATTATAAAAATACCTCATGATTTCCTTCACTTAAATCAAAGCATAAAAGGTCCCCAAATTACCCCTAACTTTAATCAAAACACTAGAAATCACTAAGAGACTGTAAAAAATAATGAAATCGTCCAAAAAGTTGGCTTTTCCCTTCTGGATCTCCTTGCGACCTTAGGATGTGGATCCTCATAATGGGGATCATCAAAGGGTGCATTTATTGGGTTAAAAGGCCCATGAGAACTGTTTTGACTAGTCGAAGAACTGTCCGGTGCATCATTCTTCCTTGGTTGGGAAGATCGTGACCTCGAGTTCGGCTCTTCTACTGCTACTTCAGTTCTGTGGTACTCAAAAAATTCAATAACATTAAATGCATTTGAGGTCTTAATCTTAATTGGAAGGTCCATCTTATAGGCATTGCTCCCCATCTTCTTCAACACCCGAAACGGTTCGGTCTTCCTGTTATTCATCTTGTTGTATTTGCCTACAAGATTCTTATTTTTGCGCAGTTAAACCATCACCAAATCATCCACTTGAGGCTCTTTGAATCACTTATTTTTATCACCCTCCTTGTACTTGGTAGTGGCAATCTCAGAATTAGTTCGAATATGGTTATAAACATCTTTCATGTCTCAATCGTACTGTCAGTATCGAATTGTCCTCACCATTAGCTGGTCGAAGAGTCAAGTCCAACGTACGAGGATTCCGCCCATAAACAACCTCAAATGGGCTCGTACCATTTGACCTACTGAAGGAAACTGTTGTAAGCGAACTCGGCATGTTGCAAAGGTAAGTCCCACTGTCTCTTATTGTCACCCACTACGCTCTGAAGTAGGTTTCCAAGCGTTCGGCTAAACACCTTAGTTTGACCATTAGTATGTGGATGATCAGCATTATTGAGCTGTAGCTTGGTATTCATCTTGTGCCATAATGTTCCCCAAAAGTGGCTGAGAACTTGGTATCCCTTTCCAATGTAATTGTTTTGGGAATCCCATGAAGTCTCACCACCTCATAGAAATATAAATTGGCCACATGAGTTCCATGTAGTGTCTTCTTTGAAGTGGGCCATCTTTCAAAACATGTCAATCCATACCTCGTTGAGTCCGCGGAAGACCCAACACAAAGTCCATGTTAACATCTTCCCGTGGTGCACCGGGAATGGGAAGTGGAGAATATAATCGGTGTTTGGTGCTTTTCCTTTGCAACTTGAGACACTTTGCACCTCTCCACATGCCTAGCCACATCTCGCCTAAATTTGGGCACTAATACTTAGACTCCACCATTGCAATGGTTTTGTGTCACCGAAAGTGTCGCCCAAGCCCCCCCTCCAATGTAGCTCTTAAACAAGGACCTCTCAAAGAGAGCCAACAGGATTTGCATAATTGATTCCATTTAAAGAGAAACCCATACTATACTAAATAGTCTCCTGCAATTCCACCTTGGCATTGCACCCAAATCTCTCCAAAATCATCATCATCAGCACACAAATCATGCAGTTGCCCAAACCTCATCACATGGCTGCGATAGTGGTCAAAAGTGATGCTCCCTGACTCAAGGCATCTGCGATTTTTTTCTGAGTTGCAGCCTTGTGAAGAATCATGAAGTTGAACTCTTGCAAATGTGCCATCCACCTAGCATACAGGCTATTCAGCTTATCATCATCATCAAGATTCATGATAAGTTCTCGCAAAGTTTTACATTGATTGCCTACCTACCTACATAACCCAGCTCCATTATCGGCTATTCAGATTATGCTGCCCATTAATATACTTCAGCGCCTCATGATCTGAAAATAAAAGAAAATCCTGTTGTTTGAGATAATGATGCCAGCATCTTAAAGCCTAAATGATTGCATAAAATTCCACGTCATATGTGGAGTACCGTCAGCGTGTATCATTCAAATTTTCTCTGAAATATGATCTGCCCTCCTGGCTCAAAACAGCTACAATACCAACATACCAGGCATCACATTCTAGCTCAAACTTCTTAATAAGTCTAGCCATGGTAATGTGGGTGCCTCAATTATAGCTTGCTTGATCCTCTCCGAGCTCCTTTGTACTTTAGTGGTCCATTTGAAATTAGTGAGTGGTGCTATGATGGTGCTGAATCCTGTAATGAACCGTCAATAAAAAGTGGCCAACCCATGGAAACTGCCCATGTTGTGGACCGATGTAGGAATGGGCCATTCTCTTATTGCTGCTACCTTTCTCTTATCCACCTTGATTGCCCTAGCTGATGCCATGAAACTGATGAAAATCAAACTATTGGTCATGAATTTACACTTCTGCAAATTTGCATACAGCTGCTTCCCTCGTTATAGCTCCAACTCGAGCCTTAGATGGTCCATATGCTGTCCTTCATTGGTGCTGTATGTGAGGATATTATCAAAATATACTGCCACAAACTTTCTTTGTATATGGCTTAAAGGCTTGGCTCATGAGCTTCATAAAGCTGCTAGGTGCATTTGACAACCGAAATAGCCAGCTACCATACAGTCCCTCTCATGTCTGAAACATTGTCTTTCCATTCATCATCCAGCCTGATTCTGATTTGATGGTAACAACTTCTCAAGCCTATTTTAGACAAAATCATAGCCCCCACCATGTCAAACATATCATCCAAGCACGGTATCAAAAAATGGTTATTAATCGCCATGTTGTCCACATAAAAATGACATGAATCATCTTTCTTGGGTGTCTGCACATGGGCTCATACTCTCCTTGAGCTTAGGAGGACTTGAACTAATGAGTCTTTTCTTCAACTGGCACCACAAAAGCTTCAAAAACTGGCACCACAGCATACAACACACCCGACTCCTTGAAATACCCTGTGAACTCCGTAAAAAATAAGAGATTAGTGCCCTCTTCTGATTTTGAAGCACTTTCCATACTAGAGGGTCCCAGATTGACTTTTAACTCCATCCTTGACAAAGTCGTAAGTGTTTTGGAAACCATCATGAGTGGTGCGCGTGTCATACTACCAGGGTCTCGTTAGCAACAAATGGCAGGAGTCCTTAGGCACTATATCTCTTTGTATTTTATCTTGGTGTATGTTTTTCCAATGAAATAAGAAAAAGGCATCGTTTAGAAATAGTTACCTCAACACCCTTCTCAAGCCACACAAATTTTATAAGGCTTTGGATGTCCGTCTTTAGCATAAGCTTGTCAACCATCTCCTGAGAAACTATATGTTCGCAACTCTCTCCATCGATGATTAGATTACACTTTTACCCTTATGCGAGACTGTGTGTATGAAATATGTTTCTGTGCAACCAATCACTTTCCTCCACGACCTGAGGTGTAATCATGCAGCTCCGGATCACCAATGGCCTCCCCATGAGGACTATAGGTCTCTTCCGGGTCCTCTTCATCTACCGGTTCATCATAGATGGGATCACCTTTACAAGATTGCTTGTTGCCCTAATCATGGAACTCAGAAAGGTTATCGTACTTGTGAGTTGGTCATTGTGATGAGACATGCCCTATGCGTGAACACTTTTAGCACTTGGGTCACTGGACTCTTGAAACAACCCCTCATTGGTCCAAGGCACCTTACTGGTTGGTTGTTCCAGTAGTGCGAGATGTCAAACCAACACCCATCACGTTGCCTTTTCTTTCCAAATCACTAACATTAGCTGCTGCCCTGTTCCTCTCATCACTCACACCCTCACCCCACCTGTTCGAGGGTCGTTTCTGTTGAGTTTCAACCCACTTTGCAAAGTTATAGACCTCATCATGGGTCCGTTGCAAAACTACCATATCTCGAGTTAATTGGCGCAGTCCATTCACAGGCAATGGACTGCTCCTTTCGCTTGATCACATCACTATCGGCAGTTAAAAGGCAAAACTCATCTACGTATTCATTCACCGACCTATATCCTTGGCGCATCACATGCTTCTTTTGTAAATAATTTTCAGGGAGAGTCTCCCATGACACAATTTTAGGTTTTCCCATTCTTTCTCACCTTGGTCGCAGTTGTTCCCACTATACCAAAGCACCTTTCTTCATTTAATGGCAATAATTTTAACCTTTTCATATCTCTGGGACATCCTTGTAATCAAAGACCCTCTACTATGCCTAACCGGTTTATGAAGTCATCAGGCTTTGACTTTCCTACAAAATTAGGAATATCTACTATTAGATCCATGGTTTTTGAATGCCGGCTATGCCTCTAATCATATTCCTCTTCACTCGACTCGTCTCGTGGAGCATGATCATGAAAAAGGTTGTACTCAACATCATCTTGGATGAAAAAAAACTTCATCTTGCCTGCGATCAATGCCTGCAAGCCGCCTTGTAAGTTCCTGAATTTTTTGACTCAGACCCGCTCTCTCTTGATCTCATCCTGCCTCGACTTCTTGCTGCCATAGGTTCACTGAAATCACAAAACTTACGAAGAGAACCAAAAAAGCCTAGCTTAAAACAGTAATTTCGTAGCTGAGTTGGAAAAACTTAGCCTAAAATCAATAAACCGTGGACTTGGTTGTAGATTCTCAGCTTTGTTACTGAAAAAAACCTAGGCTCTGATGCCAATTGAGTAGGAAAATAGAGAAAATAGGTAAACAAAATTTAATACACCTTCAAAATAAGTCAGATTTGAGGGGAGCCCTAGCTTCTCTTGCACAAAAAAAAGACCCAAAACACTAGATAGGGCCTGGTGTTACTGTTCACACCTTGTTTTTACTGTTCTCATCCTAACAGTGTCAAAGAAAACCTAAAACTTAAAAAGTTATATCAAATTGTTAAATTATAGTGAAAAAGAAGGACCAAAACTACCCCCCACTTAACTTAAAGTTATAAAAATACCCCATAAGCCCCTTCACTTGAATTAAAACATAAAAGGTCCCCACACTACCCCTAACTTTAATTAAAACAGTAGAAATCACTATGAGACTGTAAAAAGAGTGGCAAACTAAAAATAAAATCCTTCAATACGTTGGCCTTCCCCTCCCGGTTCGCCTTGTGACCTTGGGACATGGATCGTCATAAAGGGAGTCATTAAAGGACTGTATTGATTAGGTCAAAAGGCCCGTAAGAATTATCTTGACTAGTCAAAGGACCATGCGGTGTACGACTTGGTAATTAGAACGTAACCAGCAATTCATAGCAGTGGAGAAAACAATGGATTCGGCATTTAATAATGCATATAGTAACCTTATGTGGCGGTAATTATCCTTATTTTGTCCGAATGTGAGCAGTTGTTTTTTCTGACTAGCACCTAGTATGTGGTTTCTGTTATGGCCAACTTGAATGCTGTTTCTTTGTATTCTATAGTTGCTTATTCCTTGCTAACTTGTTCCCCAATCTTTATCATGGTGGAAGTTTATCTTGTTTTGGTAACACCTGAATCGAAAACACTTTGTGCTTACAAAAATGTCTTCATGTATCCAGGACGGATAATTCAATAAAGAATCACTGGAATAGCTACTTAAAAAAGAAGTTGGATGTGTATCTGGCGACTGGGCAGCTTCCACAGTGTCAGAAAACAATTGCCCAAAATGGCGATAAAGTTTCATCAAGACCAGTGAATGGAAAATCATCTGCTTCTTGCAGTCAACAGTTGGATTTGAAACCAGATATAAAACCAAGCATGCAAATGTGCTCCAATGCTTCTGTAATATCTGGAACTACACAACGTGCTTCTCAGACAGTGGATTTGCAAATTGAGGGAGAACAAAAAGAACAATTGGGTTGTTCTAGAACACCAATTTCTGCTGCAAATTCCATGGGAAAAGTGCCTCTTGATGCAACCCCACGATCTGACTTCATTAGATTGAATTCCCAAACAAGGAATGGATGCAAGAAATCAAACTCAAGTATAATGTCAAAGAGTTTTGGAAACAGTGAAACTGGTACGTTTGAAAAAGTTTCTACACCATTGTTACCTTCTGATAATCCAAACTTGGGCCCATTATATTATGAGCCCCCTCGATTGACAGATTTCGATATTCCTATCATCAGTGAGATATTGAATACAGACAGTTGTATTCAACACTTGTACAGCCCTCGGAATATAAACTCACCCACTATTTCGCGTACGCCAAGTCATTTGAAGCGTGCTGCTATTAGTGACAGCAGTCCTGAGTCAATATTGAGGAGTGCTGCTAAGAGTTTTACAAATACCCCATCCATTTTAAGGAAGAGGTCAAGGGGAGCTTCTTCTTCACCTGTACGTTTGAATGGAACTCGAGGATCCACCAATTGCATAGAAACACCATCTGGTTCGTGTACTCCTGAAGCTAAAATTGCAAGTGAATGTAGTGATCAAAGATTGGGGTCTGGACCAGGTGAGACTACACCAGAAGATTGTGATGGTGGATACAATGCTTTTAGTGGAACATCCCTTTTCACTTCTTCACCATACTATTTGAAGCCAAAACGTAAAAGTAATGCTAGATCAGTGGAGAAACAGCTGGAGTTTCCTTTAGAAGAGGGGCATCATACTGGTGGAATGAGATTTAGTTTCTTGTCAATCAATCCTGAGAGTCATGATCCTGTTAGTGATCCCAACAAGAGGTCTTTCGATACATTAGAAAAGACAGCAGCTGGATTTGAAGTCTTAACCAAGGACTGTAAACCCGCCACCAAGATGAATGTCAATCTTGGCATGGAACAGGTGAGTAAACTTGGGTTAAAATGTCAACCTTAAATCTCTCTCATTACACTCTCTTGGAATGATAATTTTGATGAAGAGGTCGTTGAATGTACTTATCCTATGGAATTGTTGCATTTCATCCTATGGGTCTTCTGGATTTCTTGAATAACTGTTAATATTCTATACTCATTTTTTACATTATTTGCCCTTGTCTGACATCTGTTCCCTGTAATGCATTATCAACTTGTATAAATTTTTTAACAACTTTTGCGCTTGAATGAGAACCTTGATTGGTAATTTTTTGTTATCTTCCTTCTATTGGATGCAAATCCAGCTTTAACACTATTATTTTTTTTGTATTTCGAGTTGATATTTTCCTGTAAATCCAGGACTAGTTTGTATCTTGTTCTTAGACCAACTTCTTGAGAAAAGTTGAAATGTTGAATCCTGTATGCACAAGGCCGACGCTTGTGTCCTCATGATAAAAAATTACCATCCCTTTTTCCCGTTCATGACTTTGTCTTCTGAAAGACCTATTTATCAAAAATAGAAACCTGTCTTTGGATATCCTTTGCTGTTTGTAGCATTCAGCTTTGAATATGGATAACTTTTAAGTTGGCACTAAAGGATTTGATGATCAACTTCGGAGATTTTTGAACTTAGATGTGTGCATGTCTTTATTTGTTTTCAAATGTATGTATGTTTCCGTACACTATATAAGTTAGTATATATTTAACATACAACTAACACAATAGAGATATGTAATATATCTTTGTTTCTGTACACTATATAATATAATTTATATTTAGCATATAACTAAGACAATAAAGACAAATAATATATCTGTATATTATGTTTGACATCTATTGCAAGGTTTGGGGTTCAAATCCCCCACTCCTTCGATATAAATTTTAGTCTTGGGCAAGTGGATAGCAGTTGATGTTTGCAACACTACATCTCATGTTTGCTTCCGAACACTGAACTAACCAAGATAAATATGTTTTGCTTCCAATCACTGAACTACCCAAAAGAAATAGAACTATGTAGCAACTATATGCAAAGAAGTTTTTGGTTACTTCTTATATAATTGTACATAATCTAATAAAATTATGTCCATGCACTATATAGTGCAAATAATATAGATTTACCTTTGTGGTGAATAGGATACTCGTTCTATATTTATGTCCAGAATTCTAGGAAGACACCATAACCATGTTGCTTGATAGAAGGCCTAATAATTTACACACCATTCTTTAAAATGAGGATAAGTGCTGCACTTGTCTTCTTTACCACAGGTTTCCTTCAAAAACTTTGTGAAACATCGAATCAACTGTCCTCGTCCCCAAAAGTAAGACCAAATGTTTAGATGTATCTACCCAGACCAAGACCTGACTCCATACCAGTTTGGTCCAGTGAAAAATTGGACCTTAAAAAGATTGGATTTCTTAATGTAGTTTTGAGGGAAATTTAGGGTTTTGTCTAGTCCTACTGGTCTGGTCTGACCATCAATAAACCATACCAATGACTTCCTGGTTCAGTGTCTAGTCTTGTATTAATTTATCCATGACTTATTCCACTGAATTTTCTCTTTAGGAAAAACCATAGTTGCTTTTGAGATATCCCTTAAGAAGCTAAGTTCATTCCAATTGATGGTTACTGGAATGTTTTGTGATCCTGGTTAATGTATAAATCATCACTTTCTTGTTACCAGGGCGCTTTCAGTCTCTGCCACCAAAATATCTTGAATCGGTTCTCACTAAGAAGTCATCCCATGAAGTACTTTCATGGGTGCTCTAAAATCTTCCTCTGTAGTGGAATACCTTTTAGCAATGATTTGTATATATCTTCAATTTTGTGAGATTTGTCAGCTGAAAGAGAAAAAGAAATTCAACATAATTAATGAATTCCATTTCAGTTAGTCAATCCACCGGCCCCGCTTACCCCAACACTCCCCCTAACACTGTCATTAATAACAAAACAATGAGACACTCATAACCACAACCTTTTCCAAAAGTTGTATGATTAATGACATGGGCATATGGTTGTGTAGCCAGGGGGCAAGAAGTTTTTAAGGAAGGGTGCAGGAAAAATAGAGAGAAATGGTATGATAAATCTACAAGGATGGCAAAATGGTCAAACTGAGAAAGAAAATGACAAGGGTAAGTTGCAGTTTGGCTGTGATGTGAATGTGTGTTTGCGCATTTGTGTGTGTGTGTGTGTGTGTGAGAGAGAGAGAGAGAGAGAGAGAGAGAGACTTGTGGATGGGACTTTAGGGTGTATTGACCATATTTTTGTGTTTAGGTATCATCTTTGTAAACCAGTCATCAGTCAGCAAACTGTTTTTGTTGAACAATCGACTATGCTTTGCTAGAAAAACAATAAACCAGTCTGAATTCCAGCAAAACAGCTGATATGTAGATCGACTCGCAATTCATGTAGGTAAGGTGGACCTCATTGACCTTTTTCAAACCCTGTAAATCCTACGTCCACATTTAGGTCAATTTCAGTTGTGTGCAATGTGTATTAATCTGAAAGGCAATCGGTAACACTCAAAGAAAAACCTGCTTGAAATGTATTAATCTGAAAGGCAACCGGTAACACGTTAACAAAATCCTGCTTGAACCGTAGTCATCTTCCCTGGCAATTCTTGCTCCAGATGATCATAATGTTAAACTGGAAATCATAGTGTTACACACAAAGGGACATGTTTCCTGTTTCTCTTGCAAGTTTTATTAGATATGTCAAACGTATTTTTAACATTCGTTTGAAGTTAATAACTTTTTTTTTTTTTTAATGTTGCTTTGGCCTTAATTTATACTCTTGTATCTTTCTCCATGGAAACAGGGGATGCCAATTTCATAAGGCCGGTCATTGTTCACCATTGAGAAGAATTATCGTATGAAAATATACAGATGGATCAGATCACAGACAATCCACGGTAAAGGCTTGACTGTTTTGGAAGGAGAGAAATCATAAAGGGACGAGTCATTTTATTGGCAAAAGCATGGTTCGGAGGAGCCCAGCTTTCTCATCTACCAGTTCTGCAAGCATCGGTGAACAGGTTTATCAACTTTGGATGAGAGAGAAACATGCAGCGAGATGTATCGTGTCAGGAATGTTCATACTTTTTTCGAATAAGAACAGGTTCATAATTACTGTGAAAAGTCCCATTTTTATGATTCATATGGGCGTTGTGTACCATAAAAGGCTTCCAAAAGAAGCAAAGGAAGCCTTGAGAATTGCACTTTGATGCCTGCCCTGGCTGTTTCTGGTCTCTCTCTCTCACACGTGAATAGAAACGATTTATTTTTATAGAAGTGTACAAAGAGACTTTTTATTTATTTTTAGTACACAATCACTCTTGTCCGGCAGATTTTAAATTGCGTGGTGGTAAGTATATCAGGGCTCCAAATCCAAAATAAAATTTTTCGAACTTTATGATAGCCATCGAATTTGACTTCTAATGGTTACGAGTGATTGTAATCTCCCTATATCAATAGCATATAGTCTTGCAGTGGACAATCCCATTTTGTTAGGGGTTGCATTTTAGGTTTCCTACATAAGTGAGCACCATCTCAACCGTCTGATGTCCATATAGGATGGTGGGGTTGCGTTCATGCTCAACTGCAAAGAATTGGAGACAGGATTTGAGAAGAGGAATTACAAAATGCTAGTACGATGATAATAAATAGCTTGAGAGGTGCTAGTGAACAATACAAAATCCAATAATCTATGTAGCATATATGTAGCATGGATTACTTTGCGCTTTTAACTTTAAATTTCTCTAAATGGCTAATGGGATGGTATACTATGAGATCATTTATCTTAGTTATAAAAAAGGTTACAATGCTCAAATCAATCATTACGACTTCAAGATGAAAGGAAAAAGTGGATTTTAAATCTTGAAAATGGTGCATTTTGTAATGTATTTTTTGGACCGTCAATTTTTTAGATTTTCAGGTGCCTGTCAATTTTTAAGATTTTTAAGTGTGGATAGATATGTTCAATCTATATTGTTTTTAAAGCTTTAAATTTATAATTAGTGACGAAAATAATTTTTCAAGCCAGCCTAAAGATTACCCGTGTTGAAGCAATATTTTTTGACATTATTTGAAGGTGCATGTTACTTTGATTGTTTAGAACTTTAGCCCAGCAATATTTTTTGACATTATTTGAAGGTGCATGTTACTTTGATTGTTTAGAACTTTAGCCCCGTACAAATCACGCCCATAAAAAATAGTTAGGGATTTATGAAAGAACAAGGTTTCTATGAGTCGGCTGATTCATTTAAATGAGGCCACTCTCCAAAATCTATTTTAAAGATGGATTTTGGACTTAAAATTTTAAGGAATGAAAATCTCAACCATGGTAAGTAAGAACCTAACAAAAAAATTAAATCTTTAAAATAAATTTTAAACCTTTTTTTTTTTCAACAGTATTAACATTGTTGATTTTAAAATTTTTCTGGGGCTGCCATTTTCTAACTTCCATCTCTAAGATAGATGTTACATGCGTTAGGGGACGATATTATAGAAGTGAGTCCCTTGATTCACAAACTTTTTCTTTTTCTGTTTTTGGGGACAGTGTCAAAACCTTTATTGATCAAAGAAATTAGGGCAAATTACGTGTTATAGTTTGCGTTATTACAAAATTACCAAATAGTTTCCGTTATTATCTATCAGTCCGTTTTTTTATGTCATAACGAGATTTTAAAAAAAAAAATATTTTTACCTTTTTTCGATTTTCGGTTGTTGAACAAACGAATTCAATGGATTTTCGGTTGTTTAACTATCGAAATCAGGTCAATTTTGGTATTTCATCAAGCCAATTTCGGTTTTTTAAAAACCGAAAATTCAAAATTTTTAGTTGTTGAAGAACCGAAAGGTACTCCATTTTTTCGGTTGTTGAACAACCAAATACAATGGATTTTTGGTTATTCAACAACCAAAATCCTCTATAGCTTTCTTTAACAACGCTTTACCCCTATACCCTTCTTTAACCACGCTTTGCTCATCTTTTTCCTTTAAACTCTTCCCGATGTTTATCCACGTAGATTAGTCATTGTAGAGAGAATGGATAAGGGAAAAGTTTAAACCCTAAGGTATAGAGAGAGAACGGAAAAACATAGGAGAGAGAATGGATAAACGTTTAAACCTTCCCAATGTAAGGTATAGAGAAAGAATGGATAAACATAGGAGACTCTCCCCTATGTTTATCCATTCTCACTCTATATCTTACATTGGGTGGGTTTAAACTCTTAGCTATAGAGTTTAAAAGGACAAGATGAATAAGGCGTAGGTGAAGAAGGGTATAGAGGATTTAGGTTGTTGAACAACTGAAAATCCATTGAATTCGGTTGTTCAACAACCGAAAAAAGGGGAGTACCTATGGAATTTCGGCACTTTAACAATCTAAAATTTTCAATTTTTCAAAAACCGAAATTGGCTTGATTTATGTTGTTGAACAACTGCAAATCGAGTGAATTCGGTTGTTCAACAACCAAAAAAAGGTAAAATTGTCTTTTTTTTAAATTTTCGTTATGACATGAAAAAATGGATAGATAGGTAATAACGGAAACTATTAGGTAGTTTTGTAATAACGCAAATTATAACAGATATGTACTTAATTTTCCCAAAAAATTACCAAATTGCAACTATAAAAGGAAGATCAACTCGCGAATAGATAACCCTAGCAATGACACACCCCGCTTGACTAAGTCATCAGCCAACTCATTAGTTTCTCTATAATCATGTCTAAATGAGAGCTCCAAATAGTCACTTATATCCATGATTTGAAGCCAAATGGATCTTAAATTTCAGGGTAGTCTTTTGGTCCTCCTTGTATCAATTGATGACATTAAGAGTATAGATCCCTCCGCAATCTGGTGTCCTCTGATTTGCTTGTCCTGATAAATCTCAAGTCCTAGCAAAAGAGAGATGAGTTCCATTTGATTAGTCCTTGTACTTCCATATGGGTCAGCCTAATAGAATACCGCATGACCAACCAAATATCTAAGAACTCCAACTCTCGTAGGTTTTTGGGTTTTTAAGTGAGCTCCTATCAAAATTTAATTTGTAAATCCAACGTAGGAGGAACCCATCTACCTTTTAGTCGAGACTTTGGAATACATACGTTGACCAAATTCACTAAGTTTAGCGAAATATCTGCTTCTGAGATACGCCAACTTTCTTTGTGATTGAAAATCAACTCCAACGCCAACTTTCTTTGTGATTGAAAACCAACTCCAAAATGTATGTTGGAATTTGCTTTTAATTCTCTCCTCATTCATCATGATCTCATCAAAATTTCTTATATTCCAAACAACTTTTCCATTATGAAAAAAGGAAAATCTTATATAAGGTGCCAATCTTATGCCATTGAAGTAAGGTGCACCTCTAATCCTCTAGAAGAGAATACCAAGGTTGGAATATACATCGATTATCTCAGCCTCGAGATGTATGATACTAAAAAATTTCGAGTCTTAAAAATGGTGCATGTTGTAACAAGTTATTTGGATTATCTGTCTTCAAGATTTTCAAAAGTTTATAGATGTAATTGATCTATACAATTTTTAAAATTTTTAATTTTATAACTAGGAATAAAAGTAGATTTTGAAGCCATATTAGGGTTTCCGACACCATAACAAAATGTTCAAGCAAAATTTAGAGGTGCGCCTTTCTTCTACAATATGAGGAGGGCACCTTATATAACCTCACCCTTTCGAGAAATAATCTCAAAAGTTAAACTATTTGAAATCATTTGTAGCCTGGAAGGAGAAATGTTTATAAAATGGGTCAAAATGAGCTATATTGTCGAGTTGAATTGGCTGACTCAGAAAAATATGCAAAAGATATTTGCAATCACCTTCAATGATTGTGACCTCCTTATATTAGTGAATGGCATTATATTTGAGGCACTATGCCACCCTGATCACCTACCCTACAATGATCGTGGTGGTAGCACCCCCACACCTTAATCACTACGTTGTGGTTTCTATTTCTACTAACACCACTCCACTAATAACTTAAGAAAACTAACTCCTAAACCATTTGAAAAAACAAATAGGGGATGTCTTCTCCACTGAATTATCCAAAAAAAAAAGGGAAAAAATGGCCTTAAAGTATGCGGAGCTGTCTTCTCCACTGAATTGTCCAAAAAAAAAGGATAAAAATGCCTTACAGTATACAATCTCGTAAGAAAATAGAATTCAGGGGTTGCTTTTTTTGATAACATTACCAACTCGCCCAAATTCAATGGGACTCGGACCGGTCCCCTAAGAGTTCCGAGCTGACTTGAGCGGTCCCCTAGCACGTCCGCAGCTGAGTGATGCCAACAATGGGAGATCGGTGGTGTGTGGTTTCTCAAGGTTAAAGTCTACCTCAAATGTTTTATTACTTATGAGAGGGAGGACACAGCCAACTGTACCCTACATTTGGGATGCTTTTTAACAAACTATTTGAAATGCGAAGAGTGAATATCCTCCCTTATATGACAGAATAAAGTTTATTCAAAATTGCATCAAATTGCTATACGAAAACAATTGTAGAGTATATATATATATATATAGGGCAATGATTTCATGCAACCGTTGTCTAGTAATATGATGCAACAACCTTAAAAAATTATCTTATGACCATTTGTTTGATCCAAAATTTGAAATATACACTATTTTCATTCTAATGAACAATCACAAAGCAAAGAAAAAATTGAAAACACAACTCAAAAATTATTTTTTTAGCCCAATTAACATAGGCCGTTCATTTTGATGAGATGCTTAGATTTAGATTTTAGAAGGATTTTTTCATTTCCAATTTTTTTGGATGACTTTATTATCGTTAGATGAACAATGTTAAAAAATGAAAAAATGATTTTGAGTTTATAAAGGCTAAGATCTTGAAATTCGCATAATGAATTGTTTAGATTCGTTTTTGGAGGAGACTCATTTTGACCATATATAGGATTCAAATTGAACTTTT